GAAAAGATGTGTGCCTAAATACTATTCGCAATACATTACATAAATATGATTATTATGGAAGAGTTGCAAGAAAAAAAGCATTTATAAGCCTTAAAAATAAAAACAGTAGAATAAAATATGCCAAGGAGTATTTACTAAAATTAGAAGATTTTTGGAAGCAGGTAATTTGATGATAGATCATCTTAAAATACATTTCTATTGATAGTTTCCATTATATTAAGGATCTGTTTACTGACGAAAGCAAATTTAATTCGCACGGATCAGATGGAAAGATGTATGTGTGGCTTAAGCCAAATGCTGAATTTAATCATAAGAATACAAAAGCCACTGTTAAGCACGGATGAGGTTCTGTTATGGTTTGGGTCTGCATGTCGAGTGCGGGAATATACAATTTGCATTTTATTGATGGTAAAATGGACAAATTTGTCTACCTCAACATTTTAAAACAAAATGTAAATCAAAGTGCAGACAAATTGGGTATCGCGAACAACTTTGCCTTTTATCAAGACAACGATCCCAAGCACACATCAGGTGTTGCAAAGCTTTGGTTGATCCATAACTTTCCCAAACTTATACAAACACCTGCACAGAGCCCAGACCTTAACGTAATTGAGCATCTTTGCGAAGAATTAGCTAGAAGAGTGTATGAAAAAAATGTAACTCCTTGGTACAGCTTAAGGAGGCTTTACTGAAATCGTGGAACTCCATAGAGCCGGAGGTATGCCAGAATTTGGTCAAATCAATACCGAAGCGTTTACAGGCCGTTCTGGACAACAAAGAATATGCAACTAAATATTAATTTCTCGATTTTTTGCATTTTTGACATTGATACTTTGCATTGTCCGATTTTGCGTTGAGCACAATAAATTGAGTTAATTTTGTTTTTCTGGCGAAATTTACTGTTATCACTAGGAAAGTTGTTGTTTTTTGTATTGTTCAGAAATATAAGTAAGTAATGTGTAAATAAAAGTGAAAAAAACTACACATTTAAACAATTTTTTTGAAATGTATAGCATTATTATATCTGACAACCACTTGTCCGATTATTCGATGGAGCCACTGTATGTGATCAGTGACTAAGTTGCAGAATACCCCATGGACAATATGGTTCTAATGTATGATTTTTCGATATAATCACTGCATCCACCCAAAAAGGATGCTGACATTTTGAAGCCGGATTTTCGGTGTTTTTTGAATTTTTCTTATAATTAAGATGCGCATCCATATAATGGACTAAACTGATTATAGGATTATAGTGTATATCTCATGAATGTGCTCACCGTAGCTTCTCTGCAATTGGGTTCCAAAGACGAAAATTTGGTGCGTAAATTTTTATAAAAAACATATTTTTTGAGTCTAAAATTAAGAAAGTCCATTCAAATTCCGTGGAACCCCGCGTGATTTTAGTTTTTTTACTTGCCGGATCTAATGAGCCCATCCGTGTTCAATTCCGCCCAATAAAACGGCGGATATAGGTACCTTGAATGTGGGAAAAACTGCAAAAACTTATTTTGACAAATTCGCGTATATTATCGCGTTTTTCTACGAATTGATTTCACATACATTCATTCTTGTGTTATCATATTCGCGAATCTGTGTGAAAATAGGTCAAAAATATATCGATACGCGAATTATATGCGTATTTTATCCAAAATCGATGGTGGAGGCACATCCGCGGTTCTTAACCGATCCTTTTAAAATAGGTGTCCTTTTGTGTATTTTCATAGGAGATTACTGAAATCGGATGCGCATAAAAATCGTATGCACGTTGCGTCATTTTTAGTCATTTTTAGGGGTTTTGAATAGTAAAGTGCATCAAGCGGCACACTTTGACGCTAAATTAAACATCGAAAAATTCATAATTATTGAAGACATTGATTCGGTTTATACGAAAACCGCATGCGCATCAACTGATTTCAACGAAAACGCGAACTGTATGCATTTTATTGTTGATCATTTTCATATACTATAACTGCAATATATTTGGTCATTTTTAAAGTCAAAACTCTTAACAGAGGAATCTACCGATATTTAACAATCATCTAACAGAATTTGTAGAAAAAATCGTCACGTGTTGTAGAAGATCTTGACTAAACCGCATTATCTTAACCATACCAAAAAATCAAAAATTTTAAAAAAACATTTTGTGGCAATTCAAAAATTAATTTTTTTTTCAGATATTTCAAGCTTTTATTTGTTTTTCGGGACTATTAAACCGTATTTCAATGTGATTTGCCTAGTAATGCAAAGAAAACAAATGTGTTTAACCATTTGTGAAGAAATTCGCGAATTACAACAAATAGGAGTTAATTTAATTTATATTTGAAATACAAGATTTAAAACCGGTATAACTTTTGTGCGCATCCGAATTAGTGAACGCGAACAGATTTTGAATCAGCATATTTTCCTTAACCTATGTACCAAAAATCAGGAATGTACTCGCAAAAAAATTTGTCAAATTTTTTTTAATGGAATTTTAAAAGAATTTTGTAATTTCCCATATGTAGAATATACACAAAATGGTGAAGTGTATCACATAGTCGTGGTAACATTTTTTTTCTATTTGTAAATATGTATGAGTGTGTCAGCTGGTATGTAAACAAATACCAGCTGACAGTCATTTGTAATAATCTCAAAGCCAGTGTAAATAAGACTAGTTTATTTTCAGCATCTCGTAAATCCATGTTATATAAAGTGGGTATGTAAATGCGCTATAATATTTTTAGATTGATTGAATTTGCAATGTAATGTGTACTATTACAATTCTTCAAAAATTTAAATTATTTTTCCAAATTTTTAAACATCTAGTCATTGCTAGTTGTCGGATGAAGTCAATGGAGTACGTTTCAGTCTTGGAAGTTAAATTATTACCATTTTGGGAAAGCAACAACAATGAAGGACTCGCTTTTTCTGATTTTTTCAGACTCGTTTACTACTTTTTATTTTTACTTGATATTCTGAATAACACTTCTTATTTTCAGTATTATACTTATATGTATCTAGCCAAAGGATAATTTCTGTAATCCACTGGGGAATTCCTGGAAGTCGATACAACGGATAAGCGATGTTGCTACAAGATATATTATTTTGTGTAGGATATAAAGGGCAGAAATTCGGGTCTTTTCTTCTTTATGTTTATAGCCGGTATGTAGTTTTAAACGGTTTCGACTATGCTCAGCAACACAACTGTCAAATCTGCCCTCTTATTTCTGTTCAGAAAGAAAATATTCGTAGAACTGAACAAATTAACTCATAACAAGTGAAAAAGCGATAAGTTCGGCGGGGCCGAACTTTGGATACCCTCCACCATAGATATACTGACAGGTACTAGAAATGAAAATAATGGGAACATACCAAAAAGTGGACCTATACCGACATTTCTAAAAAGGGATTATGTAAACACATAATATCGATTCTAGAACCCATGTATCTTTGGACCAAATGCGCTTAAAAAAATTTAGATTTCATCCAAACTTTGTCCATCTTATTATTTCTTCCAATCTTAGTTCAAATTCGAAGATGGGGAATATCGGTCCACTTTGTCTGGAACCTCCATACAGGGACTAGGTCTTAATGCGGGTTATAGTTCATTATCGAACCTTACGTTCTACTTTTTTATCTCGATATCCTCCGCAGGTGAAATGATTACATCAAACTCAAAACGCAGAACAAATCAGATAACCATTTTAATATAAAAAAGGGGGTTATATGGGGACTACCCCAAAATGGGGGTGAATATTAATAATTTTTGGTAGGGAGATTTAGTACCATATACGACTACAAAATACCAATTTGCAACAAATTCGGTTGAAAAACGCGCTCAAGAACCCCAAAATACCGAAAATTGGGGTACCCTTATATGGGGGCTATCCGAAAAAATGGACCTATATTCATAATTTTTTGTGGAGAGTTTAAGAACCTATTAAGAACTCAAAATACTAAATTACAGCTAAATCTGCAGAAAAATACGATAAAAATCCCCAAAATACTGAATATTAGGAGGTACCGTTATATGGGGGCTACCAGAAAAAGTGGACCTATATTTATAATTTTTTGTGGAGACACTTAGTACCCAAAAGAACTCAAATTTCAGCGAATTCGTTTGAAAACCACGCTCAAGAACCCCAAAATACCGAAAATTGGGGGGTACTGTTATATGGGAGCTATGCCTAAACGTGGACCGATAAATCCCATCTTCGAACTTGACCTGCAGACAAAAGACGACTCTATGCAAAATTTTGGCGATCTATATCCATTCCGTCTGTCTGTTGTAATCACTCTAGCGTCTAAAGAGTGATTACAACAGACAGACGGACAGACGGACATGGCTATATCGTCATAGAATTTTACGCTGATCAAGAATATATATACTTTATAGGGTCGGAGATGATTATTTCGATGAGTTACAAACGGAAAAACAAAATTAATATACCCTCCATACTATGGTGGAGGGTATAAAAATATGCAAATTCTAGTTTGTAAACAATTGTGTGTGTAAGCAATTATAAATCTGTGTATAAATATGTAAAAAAGTATCAGCTCTTCAGGAATAGGTATTAAGGAATACGAAACCTATTAATTTGACGTACATTGTACATAGATATATATTTAATAGATCACAATAAATACATTATCACGGCGATTGTCGTAAATCTAAATGCATTGTAAATTTAATTTGTTTTTCTTTTCGAAATACCAGCATTTTAACGTATAACGAACTGTTGCTTTATAAATAAAAAAAGCTTTAAGGGCGCTCAAAACTTTCATTTTCTTAAAAATACCCAAAATAAAGCTCTGTAGCATTTTCACTTGAAGAAAATCTCTCTCATTGTTTTGGGAAATATTCAGTCGTCAACAACGCGTTGGTATCAACGTACACCACCTCATCAAGAGGAAAATCACAGTGTTTTGGAGTGTTCGGGAGTGCGTTCGTCGTGTGTGCATCAGTGTTCTGTTTTATAAACAAATGTTTTGAAATTTCATTTAATGCCAAATTCAATTTCAATTTAAATTAAAATGAAATTTGCCGAGCACCTTACGGCACACATTACGCCGGAATGGCGTAAACAATACATCAACTATGAGGTAGGCAAATAGCTAAATACCTTAAAAATTCAAGTGTTTTCCACAAAAAGTTTTTCAAGTGAAAGTGAATGAAAATTTTCTTGTATCTATACATACATATGTATGTATATACATATATACATATAAACATCCATCTGATTGTTCAGCTGTATAATAAGTCGCGTACACAACAACAAAGAGTACAAAATAAACGATGACGTCACTGTTCCTTCGACAGCGTGAAAATTTTTTTGGGAAATTTTTCGGCGCCGGCGCAGTAAGCACCGCTCAGCTGTTTGCCGGGAAAATGTGCTTTTGGTTAAACATAAACAAATACATTGAAAAACACGTGCTATACAAACTATTTTGTTTACAAACAGTAGGTCAACAGGTATAAATGAGGTGGGTCATATGGGGCTGTGTTTTTTGTGGGGGTGCAATAGTCATACGTCATCAATATTGAACGGCAGACCTGCTAGACATACGAAAGTGAAAGTGTATTAAACAAAACTGTAACAATTTTTTTAGTCAAAACATTGGGCGCCATTTCTTTAAATTGTCGTAAAATAATATCAGCAATAGGTATTTTCGTTTAATGATTTACTCAGCTGATGTGAAAATGTAAGAGCTGGATGGGAACATATATTTCAAGTTCTTAACATGACAAGGCACACTTCATAATAAGGAAGTGTTTCAGTCCACGCATATATATCCAATATAAAATTTATAGAGCAGTGTATCCTTAAGACGACAAATATTTGTTAATCCCTTTGGTTGGCTTATGTCAGCTTCAATCAGATTTTTGAATTATGTTTAAGTCCACTGAGCCTGAACTGTTCGCATTTTTGCTAAATTTTACTTCGTTATATGCAGGTCTCATTTCGGTATATTTTCAAAATTGAAATTTTCCTATGGTGGAGTGCATAAAAAGTTTTGGCGAGCTAATTGCTCGGAGTAGTGCCATGTATCGGAATAGCCCCATGTATTTTGTTTGACCTATCAGTATGTTTATAAGAAAACCAGTGGGCGGAGGTGTACAGTCGGACGGGGCCGAACATACGATACCCTACTCAACTACCACGAAAATCTAACTTTCTGCGAATTTGTATTCCGAGTCTGGGCAATATTTTGTGATAGTTGCACCCTCTTGCCCGATTAGATATCAACAGCAAGTAATTAGAAGGGATGTACTGAATAGAGAGTACATCCCTTCTAATTACTTGTCCAGATTCCCTTCACCCTGGATTGTGTTGTGATGTTCGGCTTTCAATTGTGGCCTATAGAAAAAAATAATTTTTCGGTCCACTTCGTCCCAAAATTATTATCTGATCATCCCCGAAAATTATGGGCGTTGTCATTGACCATACCTGGATCCTCATTCCGCTCTCTAGTGTGGTAATGGGTTACTAAGTGTTACTAAGTATTTGAGTGTAACTTCCACATCCGAGTACATACGACTATATAATTGTATCAATTTAAAGGTCAACCACTCCTCTTGGATATATTATCTATCCTCGGTTCTATGTCCTTCAGGTGAAAATCTATGCGTTATAGAATACACATTTTGTAATTTTTTCACAAAAAATCAGGGTCCATTTGACCCGCTAAATATTGACCGATCTTTATTAAAACAGGCATGCTTATTCTGTAGGTATTCCCCTTCCTGTGGAAGAGCTGTCGTTATGCTACCTCCTATAGAAGAGCTGCAGGACAAAATAATACCTACAGCTCTCCCAGAGGAAGAAAAATACCTCCAGATCTTCTATAGGAAGAAGAATACCTGCAGCTCTCCTATAGGAAGAAGAATACCTTCAGTTCTTCCATAGTAAGAAAAATAACTGCAGCTCATCCATAGGAAGAAGAAGACCTCTAGCTCTCCCAGAGGAAGACTATTCTGGATGTTTGGGCCAAAAATAAAGTTTCATTCCCTTAATATTAATCTTTTACCAAAAACAATAGGGGTCTTCATTGGCCAAAAACCATCCTACATGCGAAGATGGGTCCATAACTGTGGCCAGTATCGTGTTTACAAATTATAATGGAAAGACAGACTCGACTAAAGGTCCTCCTGGGGCTGCACAAAGTTATAATCCCCTGACAACGTAGTTGTGTAGGATATAAAAACTATAATTTAGCTCGATATGCTTAACTATAGTTTTTTTGTTTTAATAATCCCTTTCCTTCTCTTTATTTTATAGGAAATGAAGGCAATGCTGTATGCAGCCGTTGAACAGGCACCGTCGGCCGAATTGGTAGATCCCGAAGTTCTAACACGTTATTTTGCCAAATTCGATGAGCAATTTTTTCATTATTGCGATAAGGAATTGGCAAAAATCAACACCTTCTATTCAGAGAAAATGGCAGAGGCAACTCGCAAATATGGCAATCTACGCAGTGAACTAACCGAAACTCTGGAAATGGGCACCGTGAAAAAACAGCCGAAATGGAAATCGAAAACCCCACTGGGCAAACGAAATGTACCGGCGCGTAAATTACAGGATTTAAAATTGGCATTTAGTGAATTCTATTTGGGATTGATATTGCTGCAAAATTATCAGAATCTTAATTTTACCGGCTTTCGGAAAATACTCAAGAAACATGACAAATTGTTGAATGTTGATTTCGGAGCGACGTGGCGTAAGGAGCACGTGGAAGCGGCCCATTTCTATGTTAATAAAGATATCGATCGTTTGATACAGGAAACAGAAACCGCCTTTACTCATGACATAGAGGGCGGTGATCGTCAGAAGGCCATGAAACGTTTAAGAGTACCACCGCTGGGCGAGGCACAAAGTCCTTGGACCACATTTAAAGTGGGATTATTTTCGGGTGCCTTTGTGGTCTTATTCATCACGGTCATACTTTCGGCCACATTCTATGGATTTGGAGAGGATTGGCGGGTGGGGTTACGTATGTTTCGTGGACCCTTCCTAATTATAGAATGTCTCTTTTTGTGGGGTGTCAATGTGTATGGATGGCGTTCGTCGGGTGTTAATCACGTTCTAATATTCGAATTAGATCCCCGAAATCATTTATCCGAACAGAATATAATGGAAATTGCCTCTGTATTTGGTGTTCTATGGGCAATTTCTGTATTATTTTATATCTATTGTGATCTCCTGGGTATACCACAATATGCTCCGCCTATATTCCTGTACACGCTCATGGCGGCATTTCTGCTCAATCCAACAAAAACATTCTATCATGAAGCTCGCTATTGGTCGGTACGTGTGTTGAGTCGTGTGATTATGGCACCATTTTTCTTCGTAAATTTTGCGGATTTCTGGCTGGCCGATCAATTGAATAGTATTGTGCCGGCCTTTTTGGATATACCATTTGTGATATGTTACTTCCGACAGAATCCGTCGTGGAATAAAATGGGTTTGGGTAAGTAGGAGAATCACCTTAAAGGAGGTTTTGTTATATGTATATACATATATGATAAAAAATTATATGATAATAAAATGGATAACACCATTTTCCCATCCTAATGAAGAGATTCGACAACAAATTTCACCTTGTTTAACATAACATATTTACTTTGCTAATTTAAGTTACTTTTCTCTTTTTTGCTTCTTTACAGAAGGTGGCCGTTATTGCATTGAGGATGTCTCCATTGTACGACCTATCGTTGCCCTGTTACCTGCCTATTTTCGTTTTGCTCAATGTATACGCCGTTTTCGTGATACCAAAGAGACCTTCCCACATTTGGTGAATGCTGCGAAATATGCTACATCATTTTTTGTGGTTATCTTCTCCTACCTATATCAGACCACAAATGGTGAGTAGAATTTAATGAAACGTAGTCAATTGGGACAGGGGTGACCCTGCTTAATGTAGTGGGTGGAACGCATGGGGTCAACGAAGTGTTTTTTTCATTGTCGAAGTTTCAATTTGGGGCAAAAAAAAAAAAATATTCTCCTTAAGGGATTGATTAATTGTGGCGAATTTGTCTTTAAATATTTTATGCTGCGAAAAAAAGATTTATATTGTTTTATTTCTCGGCATTTGTTGTTGTTGGTTATTTTGTCTTCTTTTTGGGTTTCCTAGCCGAAAACAAATAGAAAAATATTGGCTAATCATTGTTGGTTTTAGGATACTTAATGGATCCTTTTTATGTGGTAGCCCAGGAAACGAAATGTTGAGGTGGTCTTTGGAATATATGCATATACATTTAAATGAGCTGGTGGGGGTTTGATTGATGGGTTATGTTCGACCCAAAAATAAAAAGAAGATAGACAATAAAATGTAAGCTGACTAATACAATTTTCTTTATCGTTTCGTTGCCAACCATTACCAAACCCCTAGATTTCCATAATACAATCAAAACAAAAAAATTGTATATTAGGATCTTTTGACATTTTTCATAAGTGGAGTTAAGTTCACCGCCCGTATGACAACATTGGTAATTAAGGGTTAAATTTTGGTTTTTAATCTTTGTATCGACAATAAAATAAGTTTATTCTGATCAAGAATATATATACTTCGTGGGGTCAGTATTGCCAAAACATTGTTAATAAAAAATGCTAGATTTTGTTCAAAAAAGTGCCAGAAAGTGCTAAATAATTTAAAAAGTGCCAAATAAAAGTGCTAAAATTGTATAATAGAAATTAGAATCGGCTGTAATTTGATATTTTGGATTCTCGTTGGGTACAAATTTCCCCACCAAAAATTATAAATGTGGGTCTATGTTCCGGGATAGGCCCTAGAGAACGAATTTTGTGGACTTCGGGCACGTTTATCCATCAAACCGACTATAAAACGGTATATACATTAGAACTTTTTACCGGGTTAAGCTTCTTTATGAGGATTTATTTGACATATATGCAAAGGAATTGGCAATTGAAACCCACCAGGTTAACCAAATCCGGTTTAATGTAAACGTACTATAATTTGAAACTTTTTATTTTAATAGTGTGTCAAATTTAATACCAGTTTTGTGGGGTTTTCGAGAATTGCATATATGCAGAAAACTGTCAAAGCGAGAGTTTATACATAGTCCTCGTATTAAAGTACTGCTCTATTTTCTTTACTTTGAAGATTTTAGACCCATTCTCTACATAGGTATATTCTTGGACATATCCCCCATTTAAAGGTTCCATCTTATTTGCGTTCTTTTAAGGTTTAGAGCCGTTGAGAGGTGTTTAAAGCCATGTCTGCGTTTGGTATTCCTGCAAAATTAATACGGCTATGCAGGATAACTTTATCTGGCCTTTCAATACCGAACAACTTTAACTGGCCTTTCAATACCGAACGAGGATTAAGACAAGATGACAATGTCGTGCGACCTGTTCAGCATTATGCTTGAAAAGGTCATACGAGATTCAAATGTGAACAGAAATGGTACTCTGTACACCAAACAACATATGTTACTCGCCTACGCTGACGACATCGACATAATGGGTCGATCATTGCGATCGGTAACAGCCACCTTTGAACGAATTGGGAAGGAGCCTGCCAAAGTGGGACTGGCAGTAAATGACAAAAAGACCATGCTGATGTTATCAACGCACAAGAAGTCCATTAGACTCGGGCCAACTGTGGAACTTGAAAACTACAGCTTGGAGGTGCGAACGATTCTATATACCTCGGTACTGCCACAAACAAAACTAATACAATCAGGATCAGTAAGGATCAATGATCCTTACTCCAAATTTCAGTATCCCAGCTCTATCAGTTCACCGAAAAATTCAAATTATAAACAAATTTAGTACAATTTAATACCGATAATTATGAATTTGCCAAACTACATCCATTTTCAATTTTCAGTGTTCCAGCTCTATCGGTTCACCCAAATCCACATGTGGTACCATTTTGTATACATTAGTACAAATTTCCAAAACTTTCTACATATTCCAATCCAAAACCACAACAGTGACCCTAACTCTAAATTTCAGGATCCCAGCTCTATCGGTTCACCCAAATTGTACCAATTATAGTACGATTTAGTACTTTACGTACACATAAGTAAAAAAAATCCAAAACCTCGTACATATCCCAACCCTATATTCCGACAGTAATGTTAATTTAAATTTTCAGGATTCCAACTCGATTTGTATCCCCAAATTACATTTGTACTGAATATAGTACCATATAGTACCTTTCGTATACATAAGTACACGCTTGCAAAGTTCCTTATATCGACCCTGCTTCTCAACCTATATTTGCATTCCAAATTTCAAGCTTTTTAGCTCTATCCATTCACATTCTACAAAACTGTACCAAACTTAGTACTTTTTAGTACTCATCCGATACTTATAGTTCGAATATTTCAAACTTAGTACATTTTAGTACTTTTCTTATACTTATAGTTCGAATGTCCAAAAACTCTTTGCTATATATTCTACACTCCATCAAAATTAAGTGTTCTTGCTCTACCGGTTCGCAAATACAAATGGTACCACATTTAGTACTATTCGTAACGTTCTAGTTTGAATTTCCAAAAACCCAGCTTTATCTTTCACCTTTGGACCAAGATCGACCCTCACCCCAAATTTCAAGATTTTAGCTTCAGCCGTTTCGTCTGGGCGTTGATGAATCGTTAAGTCAATCAATCAGTAAGTCAGTCAGTCAATCACTTTACTCTTTTATTAGTATAGATATACAGACCACAGATCGGAAGTTTAAAACCTCTCTCCACAACAACATTCGCTGATGTATAGTTCCATGCGGCTTTGAAAACCACATTTCATGTTTATAGTTGTGGGTTATAACGTATTTTTCTCTTTGTACTTTTATTTCTAACACATAAAAAGTGCTCAAAGAACAAACATGTAATACTTTTTATGCACGTCACTGTATGTGGTTCATACGCTAATTGTACCCAACACCCACTGCGGTATACCGTGCTAGATCCTCTGAATGTTTGGTAGACTGCTCACTTATTATATAAAATGGTTGGAATTATTTATGGCGTAAAACATTGTCCGTTATCCTTGACTGTTATATGTATGTAGCATCCTGCAGATAACAATATTATAATGAACAAAAAATTGAGTTCATTTACTACTTTTACCTCAATTGCTATGAAATTTGCTATAACCAGACTAACTGCTCATTAAAATACAAAACATGTTGCACATGTTTAATTTTCAGAACTTTTGCTTAATTCGTCTATGAGTATTAAATGAAATGATGGTAACAATTTTTTATGTGTACATACATACATTTTTCCCTCGTGTAAAAACACATGACCTTGAAGGTGGAAAAAAGACTTAAAGGTGCCCAGCTGAGAAATGTTTCACTAAAACGATGTTTGCAAACATTTTATTACATAATAACAGTTTTCATTCTCCTTCGTGGAGGATAGCGAAATGTTGAGTCATTGGTGTGTAAAATGTGTAAACAATTCTTAAATGGGACAATAAGTAAGCAAATGGAAAATAACCAAAATACCGACTAATGAGTGGGGCATACCGAACCACGAAAATCTAACTTTCAGTATTTTTGCAACCTCTTGACTGATTATAGGTCAACAGCTCTACTTTCTAACCCTGGTATATTTTCCAAATCTTATTTTCCCAGGTAAATATTTACGCCATAAAATACAATTTTTTATCATTTTAGGTTTTGGTTGATTTAACCTCGTAATATTGACCGATCATCATCTAAACAGCCGTTCTAAGTATTTGGTCAGATCCCCTTCGCCGCGTGACTAGAAATTCAAAGACAAAAATAAAATTTTCGGTATCATCGACAATTATAGGCGTTGTCCTTGACCATAATTGTAACTTCATGTAAAACTTTAAAGGGATCAGCACTGCATTTTCGTCTGGGTAATAGTACTACAAAACATGCTAAGTCGACTTAGCATGTTTTAAAGTTCTTTACGTTTTTAGATACTACGGTCCTTAATTTAAATTCTCTGAAATTATGGTAATCATCGGCCAATCCAAACCAAAGTTATAAGCAAAAATGTATTTAGCATGGTACGTAAGATATAAGAAACTTCCATACTTTGAGAGCTTCTACTGAAAAACTTACTTTTCAGACTTAGCATACTATGGTTCGGAGGCGTCGACATAGGCACATTAAATATAATGTTGGGGAAAAATTAATCCATTTTTTCGGCAGATGGCTGTACTGATAGATTTCTCGTAAATATCGATTAAACAATTTCAGATTTTTGCTTGTTAGAGTAAAAAACTTATTTTGCTGTTTTTTGTTTGATGCATTCAGTTGTGAGTTAGAGGGTGTTGGAAATAGAAGTGAACAAAGAGAAAAAATCAGTACATTGTACAGTTTTCATTGAAAAAGGCGAAAATTTAAGCTAAGCGGCTGAAGTTGTGAATGGGGTTTATGGTTCCCATACTGTAACGGTTTCGTAGATTCCGTCCACGAATTTTAGATGTTAAAGATGCACCTACCTGTCGCCGAACACGTCCATAAAATCGGAAAAATTATAGAAGTTGACTGGCATGTTAGCAGTCGTAACATCGCCCTGGAGCTAAAAATCGACCATAACTGTTTTAAACCATTTACACAAAAAATGGATTTATTTTTCCCCAACCAAATATTTACCTATAACTCCCACATATAATTGGCATCAATAAAGGTCAACAACTCCTCTTGGATATACTATCAGCCTATGTCCATCAAGAGTAAAAATATACGCCCAGAATACAAATATTGTCATTTTTTACACAAAACTCTGGATCCAGCTGAACCGCTAATGGATCTTCATCAAAAAGTCTAGATTATTCTTTGGCCACATTCCATCCCATGGTGTAATATTTCGTGGGGTTTGGGTCATAATTGAGGCATTTAGAGTGAACAGGCGAAATTAAGGT